ATGTTTTAGACACTTGTTAAAAAAGAAGAGGACCTGTTCATCCTTAAAAGATTTTCCTCAAACATTTTTGTTGTTTGGTTGAAGTTCCATATCATGTTTTCAACATGAGCTCCAGCTCTTATTTGCTGTAAGAAGCTAACATTTACACACTTTCATTGGATTTATTGATTTAAACACTGGCTTGAAAGTTATTATTTTTTATTAAAAAATATGAGGAGATATTTTATTTGTGATAAACATGTGCAAAATATACAGAGAAATCTAATAATTGGGATTTTGTTTTCCTGAACCAGGTGTTCCCAGAATGACTCGTAAAGCAATAATTTTTTATTAGGTCTCCTTAAAATGTTTTGATATAGAGCTTTTTCAAGAAGATTTCATATAATGCTGGTACTGTTAAGACAGGGAAATTTAATGTCAGTCTCAGAAAGAACATCAACAACTGAGGAAAATAAGGAAAAACAAGTACTACCAATTTTGAATTTTCTTTTATTGCAGTGTCCCAAAGAACAAGCACTGAAGCAGCCTTTAGCCTTTATTTCCATTAAGTTTGATTTGTTGCTCCTCCCACAGATTGAAACAACAACATACAAAATGCGCACTAAATCATAGAGTTCAATCAGAAATTGTGAACTAAGAACAATAAAAAGTTTGGTGAGAGGAAAAAAAACAAGAAACCAGTCTACTTTCTTTGTTGCAGAAGACCAACAATAAGAATCTTGAATGTCTTACCTTGACAATGAGAACTGTTGATCCTCTTGTAACCCTGGGGACAACTGATCAGAGGGATAGCTGATGAAACAGAAAGTGGGGTGCTTGTTAGACTTTAAAATTAACTTTAACAGTAGACTTGAATAAAGCTAATATGACTACTAAAACCATTGCTTTAATGTTGTTAGAATAAATGTTGCTTTTGCTACAACAGTTTTGCTAAATCAGCTCACAAACATAACTACATTGTGTTGTAGTTGACTGACTATACATCCATGTGAGCTAGTAGTGTTGGCCCTCACACCTATCCTTGTCCTGGGTCTTTCAGCCCCCTGTCTAACTACAAAATGTCTTTAATGTGAGTTGCCCCACAGCCTGAATCAGTCTGGACCCAGCTACCCACCAAATGTGTCCAAGTGTCCCTGACTGCCTCTGTCCTTGGGTGTGAAGTCTGATGAGTCACAGTGCGAGCTCCAATCTCAGAACTCAATCTGTAGTGCAGTTCAGTGGTCTCACCCTAGGCCTTGGATCAAGAACTATGGAGTGTAATACATCTAACAATGGGAGCACACACAATAACACTCAAGCGTGCACGCAACATGATTCGAGCACTGAATGAAAAGGGAWAAAGGAAAAAAATCTCATGATGTCTGCCCCTTATTAAAGTTTGGATCCAGGCTCCACTCTGCAGCTGGATAAAAGAACCAGTGAGGAACTGGCACCCAAATACCTGAAAGCAGATTAAGTCCTTGTACAGTAGAAAACAACAAGGCAACGTTTGTCTGATGACAAATCCAGGGTGACAACCAGCTAACAAAGACACAACACACAGAGTTTTGTTTTTCTATCCCMATGGGGACCTTGCATTGACCCATTAATTTTTCARTCATTTCTAYAGCCTAACCCTGACTGTCTACCCTAGTGGTTCCCAAACATTTCAGCATTTGACCCACAAAAAAAMCATTAATTGTTAATTGTTAGTTTTTTCTGATGATTAATTGCACATGATACAATTTTTCCAAACCCTACATTAAAATTGTGATTTTTCAGGTCAACTTTGCATTTCAAGCTTTTGGAATTTAGCCTTTTTTTCACCTGACCATGAATAAACAGTAATAATACATTTTTTATTATATTATTTGTTAATTATTTCATTTATTTGTGTGATATAAATTGGAGAGTGGTATTGCAGGGGTTAGTGAAGGTTTAATTTCCTGGACCAACAACAAAAACGTGTGTGGAAAATCCTTATTTGACACACTCTGGACCCATGAGCAAGGCCTTTAAACCCCCAGGTGCTTCCCAGTTGTCCTAAATGGCAGCTCCCTGTTCCACATGGGCTCACATTTGCAATGAAAAAAATCTTTAGTTTCTACATGTAAGGCTGGTCTTTGCAGAATATTAAAACAATTATGAGCATTTTTTTTTCTGAGATCCCTGCAATAAAGTTAGATTTTTATTCATTTTATTCATATGTTGCATTCTGCGTTGGATTGTTTGAAATAAGATGTTGGTGCAATCAACACTTAATAGGTTGATAGACTTGACCTGACCCACTGGTGGAGGTAATGTGTTATATGATATGATAATTTTGGGTTAATACTGAGGTCACATTCTTGACCTTTCACGAGATTGACTTCAGCTATTTTCATAAAACTCATGACTCAATTTCTCATCATTTGAGCAGCTCTGTGACTTTTCATGCTCTTCCTCCAGAAGCTCTGGCCCTTAAAACAAGTTCCATACTTCTATAAAGGGAGCAGTGTTGAATAGCTAGCCACCACATAAAAAAGACTGTCAGCACCTTCCATAACTCCTCCTCACACTCAGTTTAGCTGTCTAAAAAGAGCCGTGGGACAAGGACAGCATGCCACCATGGCATTCAGTGCTTTTCCTCTCTGGAAATAACTTGTGTGCTTAAAGTCACCTGTGTGTTAAAGCAAACCACAGACGATGCTTTCTGTCTACTCCAGCTCTTTATTTTGCGCTCTGCTGGCTCAATGCAACATCTGCAAAAAACACTGAGTTCAAGCCTCTGTTAGGTTCTAAGGTTTGAGCCAGCAGCGTGAACTGTTTTCTCGTTGAAACGACGGCTCGGTCTAAAGGTTCATTTGAAAGCTAACCCATCAGGAGTCTTGATTTAAAGCAGCTCAGAAGGTGTTTGACAAAACCCAGAAGCTGAGTATCACCTTACCTGTTAAAAAAAGTCAGAAACTGTTAATGAAGATCATCCTCTGAGTGCTGCCAAACACAGTGTGTGAAATAAAGGGTTAATATAGTTAGCTGAGAAAGATAATACAGCAGCAGCCTTAGTACCACGTTCCTGAGACAGTTAGGCCCTGTTCACACCTCGCACTATAAAGCTGTGTTATTATAACATAAGTACTCAGCTATGAGTGAGAGCATTCATACCTGGCAGTAAAATGTGTACCCCTAAACAGATTTTGTGATCGAATGTCAACTTCCTGCTCTGAACACATGCAGTCAGGTTATACAGAGGGCTGCCAGCTGAGCAACAAACAACAGGTCTGTGGATGTTTCTGTAAAAATTATAACACAATCAGACATCTGAAAAGTATTAACATTTTTACATCGACATGACTCTGAGCCTTTTAAGTTAGAATTATCACAGTATAAGGACAGAACTTTTACAGTCAATGTAACAACACCTACGTGTTTATTTAGGTGAATATAATGTAAAATAAATCTGTTCAGACTGTTGATCTGTTATTCATAGCTTATAGCTTACAGTGATGACCGTGAGCCACTGATTAATAAAATCAATACATTTTTTATTATGAAGGATTCTGATAAACAGTGTTTTAAATATTTAGCTTTAAAAACAACATTTTTACCACCAGGGGTAAATGAAGTCTAATTGTTTTCAACTGCAGGTGTCACTCATGCACATAATTGCTGTCAGAAAGTCGGAGCTGTCAGCTCCTGAATTTGATGTCTTAAAGACTCAAATGTGCCTAATTTCAAAAAGCTTTTCAAATGAACTCATATAATTGCAGAAAGTTGAGGCTCTGGTGTGTCTTTAATAGAATCTTGTTCCTGTCCTGACTCGAGCCCTTTAGGCCCCCCCTCACAGAGTCGCTTCCCTCAGGATATGACAGCTGTCATGAAAGGTGTCCCATCACAGGAAGTGACAAAAAGTGTTGTGTTGAATGCGACACCTCAGTTTTAAGTGCTGCTCACAGTTTTAAGTGTTTAATATATATATATA